TCCCCCAGCCCGGGCGCACCTTGCCCTTGTCCTCACTCATCATGAGCAGCTCCTGCTCACCCAGCCACGCCTCCACCTCGGCCACGTCGAAGTAGTACTGCTCCACCTGGAAGGCGGCGTCCAGCGACTGCTGCCGCCTCTCGGCCGCTTCCCGCAGCCCGCCCCAGGCGCTCTGCAGTTGCTCCTGGCCCCGGCGCACGGCCTCGGCCTCGGGGCTGCGCAGCGAGGCCAGGGCGCCTGCGCGCTCCAGCACCTCCTCCAGACGCGGCCCGTGCGCCTGGATCTCGCGACGCAGGCTCTGCAGAGGGGGGAGATCCGAATAGAGGGGGGCCTCCAGAGACCCCGAGAAGCAGGATCACTGAGTGACACCCACCCATCACTGACCACGGGCTAGCTACCATTTTGCCAGTACTCGATCACTCATAAGCCCCATGCCTTTAATCCTGGCATTCAAGAGGCTGCTAGCAGGAGGACCACAAGTTGGAGGCTAGCTTGTTCTCAGAAAACAAAACAAAACAAAAACCCTAACAAGCAAAACAAACAAAAACCACGCATCATCTAGGACAAGGATGAACCACTGGCCATAATATTTCATCAAAATACAAAAGAAGTGGCTTTAAGGCTGGATGTCAGTGGCTCACGCCTGTAATCCCAGCCACTCGGGAGGCTGAGATCTGTGAATCAACCCTCTGCACATCACCTTTATCGTCAGTTTTTAAAAAGTAGCATAAGTGGTAGAGTGGCAGTCCTGAATGGAAAAAGCCAAGTGAGAGGGAGTTCAAGCCCCAGCCCCAGTGCACACCTGTGTACATACACAGAGCAATTAAGAAAAAAAATCTAAGAAAAATTTGTGGTGCCCATCTGTCTGTCTGTCTTTCCCTTACTTATCCCCTTGAGCTGTTTCTCTCTGTGTGTCAATGGGCTCCACTCACCTGGTTCTTTTTGATGTGCTGCTGGACAGCCTGCAAACCATCCCCTCGCTCAGTCAGCATGGCCAGAGGCAGCCGTTCCTGAACCCAAGCCTGGGAAGGACACAGAGAGCCAGGTCAAAGACACTATCTCCAAGAGTGCCTACATCCCAAGAATCCTTCGAGCCCTCTGCCACAGTATTCAAGGTCCTTTGCCTAAGAGCCATGACTTGCCTTGAGCTGCCTGCATTGACACTTAGTCTTGATGTCTGTACTTTGGCAGATTCTGCTTAGCCCAGGACCTTTGCACATGCTGCATGGAGGTTTTGCTTCCTGAAATTCCCAGCCCATTCTTCTCACTCCTGGATTTTCTTGACCTCAGAGGCTTACGTCCTCAGACAGCCCTCCATAACTTTGAACTTTTGCCATAAGTGATCGCAAATCTGTGTCCCCCCCACACACACCTTTTTTTTTCTGTCAGTTGTGGGGCTTGAACTCTGGGCTTGGGTGCTGTCCCTGTGCTCTTCAGCTCAAGGCAAGCACTCTACCACTTGAGCTACAGCACCACTTCCTGTTTTCTAATGGTTTATTGGAGATAAGAGTCTCACAGACTTTCCTGCCTGGGCAGGTTTTGAACCACGATCTTCAGATCTCAACCATCTAAGTAGCTAGGATTATAGGTGTGAGCCACCAGCGCCCGGCTTCCCTTTAGACCCTGAATTGTCTGTGGGCAGTCATCCTGCTGACTGGGATAGATTCTAAACACAGGGCTGGACCTAGAGTGATGGAGTGGGTGAGCAAATTCTTGCTCCAGTAAATGAATGCGCAAACTTAGGAGTGGAGTGGTTGAAGGAGGAAATGAATAGAGGAGAGAATGCACGGGAAGTAGATAAAACAGAATAAAGAATGGATGAGTGGATAAATAAATGCCTTCATGAATAATTCAGTGAGTGGCAGGAACAGGGGGGAGGGGGTGAAGGGCTGTCAGCCTGGACCTGTCATGGCCACCACCCAGCTCTCTCCCCCCTCTCGCTCCCACTCCTCACCCCGCCCCCATTCCCTCCCTCCTCTTCTCACCAGCTCATCATCCAGATCGTGGGCCACTTGGTGAAGCTCCTTTGAGGCAAGCAGCAGGCGGCGGCGCTCCTGCAGCGGCTCCAGCAGCCGCACCAGGCGCTCGCCCACCGCGTTCTGCCGCTCGCCCACCAGCTCCTTGCTCGCCGGCTCCAGCGGCAGCGAAGCCGTCTGCGCCTGCAATTCTCCCACCTCTCGGTACCATTCTTCCACCTGAGATTGCATGGACTGTGGGGACAAGGGGCAGCGTCACTATGCAATGCCCGCCCTTGCCAGCCTGCTGTGGCTCCCCAGTTCCCTTCCAATGGGAACCGAGGCCACAGTGAGATCCGTGCTGACCAGCCACAATGAGGGGTATCGTATGATACCGCAGCAGTCTGAGCCAGTCCCTGACTCCCGGGTTCTGCTTTGCTGTTCCTCTGCCAGGCACATTTATCCTGGCCAGTCAGACTTCAACTCAAATATCACCTGCTCAGCCAGGAGCCCGTGGCTCACGCCTATAATCCCTGCTACTCAAGTTGAAATCTGAGGATCAAGGTTCAAAGCCAACCCGGGCAAGAAAGTCTGTGAGACTTATCTCCAATTGACTACCAAAGTGGTGCTGTGCCTCAAGTAGTAGAACCCTAGCCTCCAGCACAAAAGCCCAGGAATAGTGCCCAAGTCCTGAGTCCAAGCCCCAGGACCAGAAAAAAAATTAAATAAATAAAATAAAATAACCCACTTAAAGAAGATTACCTAACCTTCAGGTCTAAGATGGTCTAGCCACCCTCTCAGCTGATATCAGTTTTACAGAGAATGTAACTGAGGTTCACAGAGGTGAAGTAGTTTTTCCAAAGGGCTAAATTACTTTGCCACATAGCAAAAAGAAATACAAAACTATAGTAATCTGGATCATCGGAGGACCTTGAGCATAGGCAGAAAGTGCAAAAGCAGCGAGATGTGATGGCATATGCCTGTAATCCCAGCTAGTTGGAAGGTAGAGCTTGGAAGGATTCAGGTTAGAGGTCACCTGGGAGAAAAAGCAATAGCCCATCTCATCCAGCAAGCCAGGCATGACGGCGAGTACTTGTCCGAGCTATAAGGTGGGGATAGGTAAAAGGACTGTAATTTACGTCTTCCCCAGGACAAAATGTATCTGATAAAATAAATTTAAAAAGTTGGACAGTGTGGTTCTACCCATTGAGCCACACTTCCAGCCCAACTTTTTGCTACTTCAAGATGAAGTCTCGTGGACTTTCCTGTCTGGGCTGGCTTTGAACAGAGGTTTTCAGATCTCAGCCTCCTGAGTAGCTAGGATTATAGACATGAACTACAAGTACCCAGCTTGATCTGTGTGTGTGTGTGTGTGTGTGTGTGTGTGTGTGTGTTGGTCCTGGGACTTGACCTAAGGGCCTGGGCACTGTTCTTAAAATTTTGCTCAAGGCTAACACCTTTACCACTTGAGCCACAGCTCTATTTCTGTTTTTCATGGTGGTTCATTGGTGATAAGACTCTCCTTGGGGCTGGAAAGGTGGCTCAGTGGTAGAGTGCTTGCCTTGCATGCATGAGGCCCCGGGTTCGATTCCTCAGTACCACATAAGCAAAAGAAAAAAGCCGGAAGTGGTGCTGTGACTCAAGTGGTAGAGCGCTAGCCTTGAGCTGAAAAGCTGAGGAACAGCACCCAGACCCAGAGTTCAGGCCCCATGACCAGACCCCCCCCAAAAAAAAAGACTCTCCTGGACTTTCCTGTCCAGGCTGGCTTTGAGCTATGATCCTCAGATCTCAGTCTCATGAGTAGCTAGGATTACAGGTGTAAGCCTATGGCATGCCCAGCTTGATATTCTTTTCTATCTATCCAACTGGCAAAAATATACAAGATGGCTAGGCAACGGTGGCTCACGCCTATAATCCTAGCTACTCAGGAGGCTGAGATCTGAGGATCACAGTTCAAAGCCAACCTGGACAGGAAATTCTGTTGAGACTCTTATCTCTAATTAACCACCAGAAAACTACAAGTGGCGCTGTGACTCAAGTGGTAGAGCACTCAACTTGAGCTGAAGAGCTCAGGAACAGTGCTCAGGCCCAGAGTTCAAGCCCCACAACCATCACCACCACCAGCAGCAATAACAAATACACACACAAACACACACACACACACACACACACACACACACACACACACACGGATGTATCTAGGGTTGGCAGAGATGGAGGGATGGAGGGAGATAGAAGTGTTCAGCCACCATGGGTGGTGTGAATTGGTTGAGCCTCTTTGGAAAGCAAGTTGGCAGGTCTTAATCAAAATGCAAAATGTGTAGATGCTTAACTGGGCACCAGCACTTCCCCTTCGAGGAACGAGCTCCAGACACACTGGCACCCACGCACAAAAAAAGATGTGTCCAGGAATTTCACTGTAGTGGATGGAGTTTGTAATGAGAAAAACTTGGGAATGACCTCACTGCCCAGCCAGAATGAAATAGTTAACCAAATCTGCGTGAGCGTGGGTGAGCAGAGTTCCTAGGAAGAGGAAAAAAGCCATCGAGAAACCTCCATATGATATGTATTTGTAGGGAATTGTACATGCATGAAAAATTGCCTGGGAGTAAACAAGTAATTAATAGCAGGTGACATTGATGGGATGGGGGATGGGAACTTTGTGAAAGGAACATGGACTGATGGAAAAAAAATTCACAAAGGATTTTTTAAAATATGATTTTTGATGCCTGAACCACGAAGATGAAAGATAAATAAGATGAAAGCATTAAAAGTGAATGTACTTTGCACACTACTTAATAAAAGTAAGTATTTTTCAAAGAAGTGAATGTATAATGCAATTATAAGAAGAGATTGTAAATGTATAATAAAAATATTCTTCAGTGATCTGGAAATATGCGCACCAAGTAAAACCTAAGGTTCATATTGGGGTGTTTGAGTGGATGTAGAGGTTCAAGGGAGATGTTTTACTGAAGACTTCTAGGTTAGTAAGTTAATCAAAAGAATATGATTATCTATTAGTTATGTGATTCTAAACAGATGAAGGAAAGCTAAAGAAGAAAACAAAATAATAAAATTAAGAGGTACCAGATTATAGAAAATGGTTATAAACCAAAAATTACAACTTGAGAACTGAGTCAAGGCTTTTTGTTTTTGCTTTTGTGTGTGGTTGGCCTTAGGCTTCGAACTAAGGGCCTAGATGTTGTGTGTTGGCGCTCTACCACTTGAACTACAGCTCCACTTCTGGCTTTTTGGTGGTTAAATGGAGATAAGAGTCTCACAAACTTTCCTGCCCAGGCTGGCTTCCAAGTTTAATCTTCAAATCTTTGCCTCCTATATAACTACAATTACAGGTGTGATCCACTAGACAGGGTCTTGCTATGTAACTGAGGCCTCCAATTCATGATCCTTCTGCCTCAACTTCCCAATAGCTGAGATTTCCAGTGTTTCCAGAGTTTTCTCGGAGTTTCCAAGTAAAAATGTTCATTCTAATGTTCTGTAGTATAGAGTTGTGGCTTTGCCTGAGGGCCAACACCCATTCCCTCCTTTACAAAGATCTTAAATCCCACCGAGGAACTAATCAAACCTAGAGCTCCATGTTAGGTCATGGCCAATCAGAACAGTAAAGTTACTCGAGATATGGTCAAGTTACCTAAAGTAGACCAATGAAAACACTTCTAGCTTTCTTGGGGGCAGGGAGGGGGGATATGAATCCTAGTCATGTGGCTCAGGGCTCATCAATGAAAACTTGAAACATCCCAGTTTTTGATGAGCCAATGAAAACTCTTCTCCCAGGCTGGGAAAGTGTGTGCTCAGTTTCCCATGGGGTTCCTAAGCTGACAGAGTATAAGGATACTGCAGACCCTCCCCCCACCCCCAGGAAGGGCAAAACTTGGTAAGACTAACACAGGGGCTGGTGCTGGTGGTTCACCCCTATAACCCTGGCTGAGATCTGAGGATTGTGGTTCAAAGCCAGCTTGGGCAGGAAAGTCTGTGAGACTCTTATCTCCAATGAACCACCAGAAAACCAGAAGTGGCTCAAGTGGTAGAGCGCTAGCCTTGAGTCAAAGAGCTCAGGGAAAGCTGGGCACTGGTGGCTCACACCTGTAATCCTAGCTACTCAGGAGGCTGAGGTCTGAGCATCACGGTTCAAAGACAGCCTGGGCAGGACAAGTCTGTGAGACTCTTATCTCCAATAAACCACTAGAAAACCAGAAGTGGCACTGTGGCTCAAGTGGTAGAGTGCTAGCCTTGAGCACAGAGAGGCTCAGGGACAGAGCCCAGACCCTGAGTTCAAGCCCTAGGACGACCAGAAAACAAAACAAAACAGAAGAGCCTTCTTGCATAGCAGCCTCAGTCCCTGGTCATACAGTAGTCAAGATGTTGGATCAGCCTCCTTCCCACTTGGATCCTCCATGCTCCTTTCCAACTTCCAGCTGTGGAGACTAAAACTCCAAGAGGAACGGGAGCCATCTCTGGCCCAGAGTAAAAACTTCCCTGAGTCAGATTTTGAACCTAGGACCACAGTTCACCAGCCAAACTCCTGGCCATTCTGCTTCTCTATAAACGGGATGGTGCATCTCAAATAGGTGGGAGTCACAGATCTGGGTCTCACAGGAGAGATCCAAACCCTGGGGTGCACAGCCGGGAGAGGGGGGTGGGGAAGGATCCCCTCCCCCACGCCCCCTGTCACACTCAGCAGGACCAGCTGGCTGGGGGGCCCCTGAGGGCTGAGAATCAGGGGTTCAGGACGCCACCATCTGTTCCCTGGGCCAGTAAGGACAGGCAAGAGGCCATGAGCCAGGATGCTGAGCACATGGTCTAGAGCAGGGAGGTGACATCCCGACTGGAGTAGTGGGGACCTGGGGAGGACACCAGGGGGTAAGGGCAGCTGGAGGAAGAATGGCAGAGACGAGAAATTCAAATAAAAAGAAAAGGTGAGGTGGCTGGCAGAGAGAACGATCCAGAAGGTAAACCTTGAGGTGGTGAGGTGGTGACGGAAGGAACAAAGACTCGGGGGGGGGGACAGCCAGGGCCACACACTAAGCTGGATGGCCAGGCCCCAAGGGGACAGCAGGGCCTCGGGAGGCCCCCGCCCCTCCCCTCTGCAGCTTCTAAGGCCCCAGCTGGGCACCATCTGGGGGCGCTGGCCCCACTGGGTCCCGCTCCCTGCCTCGAGCTCCCTCTGCTGGGGAATGGGACAGAGCCCAGCGTGCCAAGACTGCCCTCCCCCATCCCTCTGACCACGGATCCTTTATCCTACCCAGATCTCAGCCTCTCCTCTCGATAATGGACACCCCATTCTCATTGTTACCCCCCCACACCCCAGAGGCCCCATGTCTGCCCTCTGACACCAATATGGCCAGCCAGAGGGACGCAAGGCCCAAGCTGGCCACTTCTGGGAGGGCCACAGAGAGAGCTGCCTGAGTCCCAGCCATCTGACTGTGGAGAGGGGGAGAGGCTGCGGTGGGGACCCCAGGTGTTAGCCCGGGGGGGGGGAGGCGAGTGTCTGCCCCGTGGGCTGGAGCATCACTCTGCATAAGATGCCCCATAATTGGCAAAATGCAGAGAGTGGATTCATATTCCATATGCTACCCTCAAAATATTTTTTTGGGGGCGTCCGGTCATGGGGCCTGAACTCTGGGCCTGGGCGCTGTCCCTCAGCTCTTCAGCTCAAGGCTAGCGCTCTACCACTTGAGCCACAGCACCACTTCCAACTTTTTTCTTTTTGCTTATGTGGTGCTGAGGAATTGAACCCAGGGCCTCATGCATGCAAGGCAACCGCTCTACCACTGAGCCACCTTCCCAGCCCCCTCAAAATATATTTTTAAAGCAACACAGAGAAAAGTGCCCTAAGAGAGATATGAACAGGAACAAATGAAATTCGTAAGTAAAACATGACCAAAGGAAAGGGGGAGAAAAAAATAACTGTGGCCACAGCGCCACTTCCAGTTTTCTGGTGGTTCATTGGACATAAGAGTCTCATGGATTTTCCTGCCTGGGCTGGCTTTGAACCATGATCCTCAGATCTCAGCCTCCTGAGTAGCTAGAATGACAGGTAGGAGCCATCAGGGCACCACTCTATCTATCCATCCATCTATCTATCTATCTATCTCTTCCAGCATTGGGGATAGAACCCAGGGCTTCAAACATGTTAGGCAGGTATTTTGTCCACTGAGCCATAGCCCCAGCTTTTTAGGGGCTGGAGTCTCAGTGGTTAGACCAAGTTAGCCTGGAACTTGCTCTGTAGTTCAGGCTGGACTTGAACTCAGGTTCAAAATACCGTGCTAAGCAGCTCCTTTCTTTTTTTCTTTTTTGCTGGTCCTGGGGCTTGAACTCTCAGCCTGGGTGCTGTCCCTGAGCCTCTTTGTGCTCAAGGCTAGCGCTCTACCACTTGAGCCACAACGCCCCTTCCAGGTTTTTCTAGCCGTTCATTGAAGATAAGAGTCTCACAGACTTCCCTGCCTGGCCTGGCTTTGACCTGTGATCCTCAGACCTGGCTTAAGTGGCACCTTTCTATGTCCAGTGAAGCTCACACAGATGAGTTCCTTGAGATAGCAGGGGAGATGTGGGGGAAATAGAGCATGCATCTGGGCTGGGAACTGAGCTCAGGCTCTCCTCCCTGGGTCCCTGGCTGCTTTTCCTGTTTGTTTCCTCCAGTCTGGCCATCTACACTACTGGCCACACCCGGAAGAGAAGACTTACAGCCAAGTCACTGCTGTGTTCAGTACCTGCCAGCCAGGGAGGGGCCTGGAGATCTCAGCTGTGACTCATTTGTCAGAGGCCAGCCTGAGGATCGCCACAGGTCTCCAATGGGGTCCACAAGTAATCCAGGGAGAAAGGTGGAGGGGAATTAACAGGGTACTACACAGCCACCTGGTGGCTGTGTGACCTTGAGCTAACCACAGATGCTTGCTGCGCAGTGGCTTTTTCTGGACGCATGAGGTAACGGTGGCTTGCTGGCAATGCTGCAGAGAGGAGGCGGGGCTAACGGTGCCAGGCACAGCCTGGTGCAGCCATCCGTGCGCCTCCAAGTGTGGCCTCGACACCCTGGAATCCAGAATCTTGTCAAGGTTGTGGACAAGGTCACTGTTTGGGGTTTTGTTTGTTTTGTTTTCAGTACTGAGGATTGAATTAACGGTCTCAGAGGGAAATCCCATCCTCAGTGCTTTGGTTTTTTGGTTTTCTGTCTTTCTTCCTTCCTTCCTTCCTTCCTTTCTTTCTTTTTTTCTTTCTTTCTTTCTTTCTTTCTTTCTTTCTTTCTTTCTTTCTTTCTTTCTTTCTTTCTTT